TGTACCTGGTGCCCTTTTTATGTATGACGTCCTTGTTGATGACGACGAGGCCATATTGGATTGTGTGAAGCACCCATTGGAGGAAACATAAAGCTATGTTTCCTTTGCGATTATTGTTGTATTTTATAAAGCTCTGCCAGTAGTGTTATATGACTTGGAGTCAGACGATATGTATTGTAATGAAGGGTATAATAGCAGTATATGGGTATATATTCATTGATTAAGATATGGCCGCATGCCTTAGTCATTTCTAAAACATATCTTCATTCTGACAAATATGTAGAAATAAAGACTTTATCATTAGATTTCGGGAAAGTTTTTTGAATCCAAACCAGTATATGTTTTTCAGTGCCAAAGCAATGATACACGCACTTTTGAAGTTCGCGATTGTGATTCACCATATAGCATGGACGTGACAAGTTTGCCCTCTCAGCCGTTCATATATAAGTAAATTTGCTTCAAGAAATACCAAAAAAATCCTGTATAATTTCAATGTGTTATGGGTGGTATTTTTTAACAATCACTGATGCAATCATATTCCCTTAACGTGCGCATTTATTGTTTTTTGTTTACCGAAAACCTTTTGATCAAAACATTCAAATTATAATATGTCTTTGGCGCACAACCACAACTCGACCAATATGGTATTAATTTTTGTAGAAAAAAACGTCACGCTTAACTTAAGATAATTAATGTTTCAAATAGATGCTTCCATCTGTATTGGCCATAGTGATTATCTTATGTCACAAAGCTGTTGACTCCTCTGCTGGTCATAGTGATTATCTTATGTCACAAAGCTGTTGACTCCTCTGCTGGTCGTAGTGATTATCTTATGTCATAAAGCTGTTGATTCCTCTGCTGGTTAAAGTGATTATCTTATGTCACAAAGCTGTTGACTCCTCTGCTGGTTAAAGTGATTATCTTATGTCACAAAGCTGTTGATTCCTCTGCTGGTCATAGTGATTATCTTATGTCACAAAGCTGTTGACTCCTCTGCTGGTCATAGTGATTATCTTATGTCACACAGCTGTTGACTCCTCTGCTGGTCGTAGTGATTATCTTATGTCACAAAGCTGTTGATTCCTCTGCTGGTCATAGTGATTATCTTATGTCACAAAGCAGTTGACTCCTCTGCTTGTAATAGTGATTATCTTATATCACAAAGCTGTTGAATTTTCTGCTGGTCGTAGTGGTTATCTTATGTCACAAAGATGTTGACTCCTCTGCTGGTCATAGTGATTATCTTATGTCACAAAGCAGTTGACTCCTCTGCTTGTCATAGTGATTATCTTATATCACAAAGCTGTTGAATTTTCTGCTGGTCGTAGTGGTTATCTTATGTCACAAAGCTGTTGACTCCTCTGCTGGTCATAGTGATTATCTTATGTCATAAAGCTGTTGATTCCTCTGCTGGTTAAAGTGATTATCTAATGTCACAAAGCTGTTGACTCCTCTGCTTGTCATAGTGATTATCGTATATCACAAAGCTGTTGACTTCTCTGCTAGTCGTAGTGATTATCTTATGTCACAAAGCTGTTGACTCCTCTGCTGGTCAACCAGTTAACTAGGCTGGCCGTAACATTGCATAAAAGCGGAAATAGGAATTTGTAATATTTTATGCTTTTTACTTTAGACTTTACATTTTTACAATAACCTTGAAAATGTTTTTTTCCAGTATATAGTTATCACTTTTATTGGACAAGATGGAAGCGCGAAATCGTTTTTAATGTTTTACGGCAAATAACATAGGTCATAAGGAAGGTTGATCCCCATAAGTTAATTGAGTATATTACTTATAGAGAATATTGAAGGTATGACGGTTAAGGAACAGTTTCGCGTTACCTACATGATCTTTGACACGTTTTCTCTAACTTCTTAACCAGGAATTATGTAAAATTCCACTATGACGTTGTAAATGTAACAATTAATGTTCGTATCTATTTGAATAGAATAGGGGAAACTATGGTATACCAGGGATATCCTATAGAATTAGAGCAGTTTAAAAATTTGCTTAATTCCATGAGTAAGGCAACTGCCGACTGGTTTTTGTTCACCTGACTAAAATGGTATATGAATACTGTCATGTTACATACTGATGGCGCTATTTTCAGAATATCAGCCATATGGTACTGAAATCCGAACGTTTATTTTTATACACTCCTTAGTCAGGTTTTAGAAACCCAAGTTCCGGAACTGGGGGTCATTGAGTGCATCAGTGTGGGATGACTTATCCAACATCGGTGTTCAGACGGGACATATCTTACAAACGCAGATGATGGAAAATATTGCAAATGTTCTATTTTGTGTATGATGCACATATCTTTAGTATGTTACCTGTTTAGTATGTTACCTGTTTAGTATATTACCTGTTTAGTATATTACCTGTTTAGTATATTATCTGTTTAGTATATTACCTGTTTAGTATGTTACCTGTTTAGTATATAACCTGTTTAGTATGTTACCTGTTTATTATGTTACCTGTTAAGTGTATTACCTGTTTAGTATGTTACCTGTTTAGTATATAACCTGTTTAGTATGTTACCTGTTTATTATGCTACCTTTTTAATGTATTACCTGTTTAGTGTATAACCTGTTTAGTGTATTACCTGTTTAGTATGTTACCTGTTTAGTGTGTTACCTGTTTAGTATGTTACCTGTTTAGTGTATTACCTGTTTAGTGTATTACCTGTTTAGTATGTTACTTGTTTAGTATGTTACCTGTTTAGTATATTACCTGTTTGGTATATAACTTGTTTAGTATGTTACCTGTTTAGTGTATTACCTGTTTAGTATGTTACCTGTTTAGTGTGTTACCTGTTTAGTATGTTACCTGTTTAGTGTATTACCTGTTTAGTGTATTACCTGTTTAGTATGTTACCTATTTGGTATATTGCCTGCTCAATATGTTACCTGTTTGGTATATTACCTGTTTAGTATATTACCTGTTTGTATGTTACCTGTTTAGTATATGGCCTGTTTAGTATATGACCTGTTTAGTACGATGCTAATTTAGCTCCTTACGTATTGAGTGTGGTACATATTTAGCATGCATTTCATATTTTATACTATATTACCTGTGTAGTATGGTACTTGTTTAGTATCATGCTAAGTTAGATTCTTACAGATTGAGCATGGTACATTCTGAGTATATAACCTATTGAGTATACTTTTATTATATATTCAATATGAAACTTATTAAGTATGGACTATATATTCATCCTTAGACAGAATATTTAACTGTTCAAACATCGTAACATACGGTCGTGACAACCGTGTGTTATAGCGTTGGCAGCACATGTTGTAATGATTGTGTTTTATACTGTGGGTGTCAAGAGTTAAATTTCTTCTTATGTTGGAATCAATGACAACTAGATGTTGTGTGATGTACTAAAATGAACAATAATGACACATTTAAAGGTTTACATTTGGATATGCTTTTGTACATTAAAAATGTTGTGACTGACCATAATTTAACATCAAGTTACACGTAAAGTTGCTCCTCGAGTTCCACCATATAGATTTCCCGTTGTTCCAGGTATTACGAGCTGGTCTTGAAACAAGTTAAACATAAACTGTTTCGTAAATCATGTTGTCTCAAGGCCACCTCAATTCATCAACCCCTGAAACTCGAAAAAAGCAAGATACAATCTTAAAATGATATTTGTGTTAACAAGTATCTTTTCAAAAGTACAAACGCTGGGTTTCTCAAAATTTATTTTCAAATTGGTTCTGTCGTTCAATTAGATCTAGTAGTGTTCTTGTAACAAAGAAAATGAAATAATTGACAACAGATGAGTCCACAGAATCGTTATTACTAAGTGGCCATGTATATGTCGAGAGTGTGAGTATATTTATTTTTCAATCTTCACAAGGATGTCGTGGGTATATGAATAAAAAAATTCATTTACTTCACCTTGATGCAGGTTAAAATTTACCGATCACATGACGTATTCACGGTTTATAAGGGAAAACATGCCATGATACAGACTACACAAAGTCCGCACATTTCCGTACCAATTTGGGCTTTTTTATTGTATGTCTTGGCGTATAAATAAAATACAGGTATTTCTCTAAAAAAATATCTCTATTCATGAACACGTTATAACAATAATCTTTAAATGTTAAATATTAAAAGTGTTTTTTACAAGTTCTAGTTATAGCCTTGAGAGCAAAATGGGCTTTATAAGAATTAAAAAGAGAAGCGATGTACAGTTAGACCCTTCAATCTTCAGCAAGAATAACTTCAATATTTATTGTTGATATTTAACTGTCAGAGGTCATACCATTATAAGGGAATAGGGGAAAGAACTCGAGTGAAAGGTTTTGGGTTCGAACTTCGTGATATGAAACCTGGCAATTTATGTATGAAAATACTAATCGTCCTTGTCGTGGTTGGGGTGAACGTTTTTAATTTTTAGTTAAATTAAAATAACCAGTTTGGACATACGTTAAAGTCGCTATTACCCAAGGTTAAGTCACTAGAAATGCGTTAAAAATATCATTATTTTAGGAAGAAATATTGATAAAGTAAGTTCAACTGCAATATACCAATTTGTTTACTCTTGATTTACATTCGATTTATCACTGCTATCAGTAAGTAATATTTTATTAGATGAAACCAATACTTAAATATAAATGAACTCCACGTTAGAACTATGGTGGTACTGTACAACAGAAACGAAACCCAGGGACTGATTTTGTGTACAAACAAACAACCCTCCAATAAACCGCCTGCGTAGTAGTAGGCGGGAGTGTTCGTAGTCAATGGTCAATTTCCATCGGCAAGCTGCCAGAAATATGAACCAACAACGGAAGCTGGGTTTGATAAGGTATGAATGATGGCAAACTCGCTGAGTGCCTCTGATTTTGTATGATGCTGTGCCGAGCTTGATTTTCTGTTGTGAAATACATAGTATTTGTGACGTGGATTTCGGAATCCATCACGAGGCCTGGGATGCAAATAAAAGGCGAGAACCCTCAGACTGGACCAAATCATAAGTGATAACACTCTGAAACACGTGTTCGCTTTTAAGTACGTTAAGATACTTTCACCTGGATATTGAACAAAAGGTAAATATTAATTTCGGACTAAGTATTGAAAGCATTACTGAAAAAATACGTGTCTTTTATACATTTTTTTAAGTTAATGCAGGAGAAAATAAATTAATATCAGTAATATAATAGCAAAGAAATTAACGGTTTTTGGTTGTTTAAAATTTTAACCGATTTTACGCTATTAGGAATACCAATTTATACTTAATACAGAGAAAAGAAAGCGCATTTAGTTATGGATTCCTTAAGATAGATAATACCTTAGAATAATTAGAAGATGTTAACTATTGAATCAGCGGCCCTCACTAATTGATACTTAACTGACCGGGCACGCGTGTGACGTAACTGGAATGATTCATTAATGCATACGCTCTATCTACGTACGTGTTTGTGTATTTGTAGTGACCTGCACTGACCGCAGCCATGCTTGAGGCAGACGCAGAGAGAGGTCAGACCCTTGCTAAGGTAGGTCAGCATGTTTCGCTCTGTTTTGCGTAAATAAAATATCTACATGTAGGTTGAAACATTGTACGTAAATGCATGTTTTTGGCAAATACATGTTGTATGCGAATACTTGTACGTAAATACATGTTGTATGCGAATACTTGTACGTAAATACATGTTTTACTTGAATTCACGTTTTACATAACTAATGTTGTACCTAATTACGTTTTACGTAAAATGCGTGTTACGTAAAATACGCATTTTACGTAACTTTTGTTGTACGTATGTTTACGTAAATACACATTGTAAGTAAATGCATGTTTTTTCGTACCTTATATTGTACTAAATACATGTTAAATGTAAGTACACGTTGTATATCAATGAATGAAACAATGCATTTCATACGTGTGTATTAACATTATTATTATCATATTTCCCAATTATTTTTTTATTGAAAATGTATCATAATGGGTTTCACTTTCCTGTCATTATATTGCTTACTCTTTATTTTCCCTCTATAATGCGCTCATCGAAGCGTATCACATATCGAGTTTAATCATTAATATTTATGAAATGTAATTGATACCTTATGCTTTGATAGAAATCGACATCAATTTAGTATTGGATAGGTGTGTACCCATGTGAGAACAAGCATCCCTCATTTGGATAGTGACGTATTCAAAACATATTGTTTTGATTCATTTTGTGGATTCGCATGTTTGAAAACTTATTCCTTTGCCTTATATCGTCGATTCACATGGTTAGGTAGTTTTAAGTTCTGATTCAGCTATTAAATATTACGTATCTCAAGCATGTACAATCATGTAGTTTGATCGTTAAACTAAACGTTTAAGTGACGTTATTATTCTGAATACAAATAATTCTTTAACATATATCCGTTGTTCATCTGTGGTCGTAATAATTTACTTTTCAATTTTCACGACTTGGCTTATTTTGTGTAGCTAATGTTTATTTTATGTTTATGTTGAATTAAATCATTTTAAGTACAGTAGTGACACACTTAGAACAGATGTCTTGTTTAGGATTGGTTTGTGGGCTTCTTTATTCTTTACTTGATAACTGTGAAATAAATATAATGAAATGATAAAAATTATAAATGAAAAAAGATAAAAACTTTGATAGTTCATGGAACAGTGTTTTATTTCTTATTATTAAAAACAAAATTTGATATAAAAAAAAATAGAAATATATATAATTATGTTATATAATATTTGTTTTGTGTTTGTTTATATTTCGATTACATTTCTAGACTTGAGAACCTTGTTGACGAATACCAGGATGTTTATGTCCTTTTCAAACTAAATTGATATTCCTATTCTTCATTTTTCATATACGATCCACACTGCGTTAAGAATAGAGTGCAGTTTAAGACTATTACAAAACCTGAAGATAATTTGTAACATGCTAAAGATAAAAAATAGGTACAACCGATACTGAGATAAAGTTATCTACGAAATTAAAGTATGACTGAAAATCTAGAATTCTAATATTAGTATCGTTTTTTGTTTTTTTTGGAACAATCTTTCATACTTTTTAAAAATGTTTATTCTTTATCATAAAAAACCCTCATGCATGCGATTCCTTCAAATATAATAATACTATATTTATATTTTCATAGTTCTTTCAAAAAATATATTAAATTACTATAATTGTGTATACGAGCTGACTTAATAAGCATTTGTATTTGCTAAGTCGGGTTGTTATCAGCTAGAGCGGTTTAGCGCTCATTCCGAAACATCTTGACGTTTCTCAAATTTTAAAAATCCAATCACGTGTATGTTTAACGTTAATATTTTTAATAAATGATAATATTATGTTATACTAATAAATAGTTGTAGTATCTCTATTTTCTAATAAATGATAAAAAAAATGATATTACTATAATCAAACGATTAATTAATTCGTATGCGAATGTTAGAAATGATAGAACGTATTATTATAAAACATATTCCTGATAGAAAACATTAATTTACAAAATACATTTTATCTTTAAGAAATTTGTTTTCCACTACATATCATATTAATATGTAAATTGCACTTAATATAAATAAGAAGTGTTAAAATATTTCCGGATATTAATAAATGGTTTAAAAATTTCACAGGGTTGTCATATATAGTTTAAAAATATACGGATTGATGGGTTTCGAAACTCATAAACTGTTTAATATTTGGTTGTAAAGTTCCCACTAGATGGTTATTTTAGGGTTATTTTCTGACTTCCTGGTTCTCATTGGGTGGATTATCGTTCTGAATATTTATAATTGGGTCGTACTCTGACTGAATATTCATCATTGGTTCGTAAATCTTGATAAACATTTTTTCCGCGTAGGTAGAAAATCTCTAGATGCTTATTATTTGTTGTGGTAGATCTATGAAATATTATAAGAACCTATCTATTATGGAAGGTTATGAGGCATGGGGCAATTTTATTCGAGATGTAGAATATGTTTACATCCCTAGTTCAAACATAACACGATATCTTGTTCCGAGCCTATAACATGCACATTTGGCACTGATTTTGCAAATAGAACAATACATATAGATTGTTTTCTTAATAAGGTTTGTATTAACAAAGTTATTTGAAAACAGCGAAGAACAACTGGTATATTATTGACACAATAATGGAGATTTCCAAATGACCATGATGATACATGTGTATTTCTTTAACGTCAGTTACCGAATGTGTTTGCGGTATATATTCTTCCTTAATCAAATTGACATTTTAACGGAGTCAGATATCACTTCAATAACCTCACGGATCAACGATATGCCATTGGTTTTCAGAATGTCTTCCGACAAGATGCTGATTGTTTAAATTTTCAATATGTTTTTCTCGTTAAGTTAACATAAAGTTAAAACTTATTAAAGTGGTTTCGTATAAGATTTCATTTTGAAAAGCTTTTTTTGTGTGTAAAATACAATTTAGAAAAATGATTAGTATTAAATGTTTCGGCGCTTTACTTTTAGTTTGATATTATTTCTTAATATATTTTATGGGGTTTCAAAATCAGCTTATAAGAACTTTCGCAATAACTAATATTCCGATTAAAATGTATTATTGCTATATTTCTGTTTCAATAACAAGACATTCGGCTACTTGTATAGCATTAATTCAAGTTAAACTAAGAGCACCGCAGATTTTTTTCTCTCATCTTTATATGACAATAATAATGAAATCTATCTTTTCGATGTTGTACACGAATAAATCACAAATAAAGTGTAAGGTTGGTGAGATTTAGCACCAGGTTATACTACAAAACATTATCCCGAGGGTGAGATTTAGCACCAGGTTATACTACAAAACATTATCCAGAGGGTGAGATTTAGCACCAGGTTATACTACTAAACATTATCCCGAGGGTGAGATTTAGCACCAGGGTATACTACAAAACATTTTCCATAGGGTGAGATTTAGCACCAGGTTATACTACAAAACATTATCCCGAGGGTGAGATTTAGCACCAGGTTATACTACTAAACATTATCCCGAGGGTGAGATTTAGCACCAGGGTATACTACAAAACATTTTCCATAGGGTGAGATTTAGCACCAGGTTATACTACAAAACATTATCCCGAGGGTGAGATTTAGCACCAGGTTATACTACAAAACATTATCC